CGCCCATACTGCTCAGCATTGCTGCACTCGCCGCTCGTCACAGCTGCCAGATAATGCCGCTTTCAAACATTTGAGAATCACACTTCCTGTACACACAGTGAGGCTTCAACACGATGAAGGAAGAAAATCATGGACGCTAAGTACCTCCAACACGCCTAACTCCATGAGGTACAAAATACTCCTGATTAATATAACACTGTTGTTAGATAAACCCTCCACAAGAGGAATATATTTAGATATAATGTGCAAGACACATTTTGATGATGATGCCATTTTTGCAAGCTGCCCCTTGTGACATGTGGTTATTATAGTAACATATAATATTCCATTTAGTAAAAGCTAATAATGTACAGAGTACCAAACATGAGAGACGTGGGATGGTTAAGGGCTGGTTCACACCAGCCCCATTAGTATGTATGGGGTATGAGGACTGTTCACACCAACACTCTACGTTGGTGTGGGTCACAATGAAGGGATGCAGGCATCATTTTATCGCAGCGCATACAACATGATATAGAGTGTAGAATTTACATGGGGATAAAGCCCCCCCAAGCACTGAAATACTATATAGCAAAGCATGGCAGTGCACCTTCACACTGCATGGCAGTGCACATACGTTATGGGCTATGCATTGCCCTGCAGTGTGGTGTGAATCTGCCATCAATGTTTCCTGAAATTTAAAGTGCCTTCTGACTTCTCTCAACATCCCCTACACCCCTTTCCCCAGACAGGAAAAAAAGACAAACAAAAAAAGAAAAATATTACGATTTGTAAAGTTTTGCGAAAAATTCACCTTCGTCTGTGTAGGCAAAAATGCTTGCCCCGGCCCTGTGTAAACCCTAACAGAATGACATTGTGTATGTGTATGGCTGAATGGAATTGTATATCATAAGCAAATTAAATGTCTTTTAAATAAAGAACTTGGTTCTTGGTACCTGGTAGTTACTATGATGAAAAAACAAAATGTCAAATAAAAACATTAAAACTCCTCCCTTCCCACCATTAAAAAAAAAATTAAATGTAGATCAGTGGGGTCTTCTGACTTCTTTATTCCCCACTGTTTATATATATATATATATATATGATTCTATGGGCAGAAATAGGGTCCACTGCTTTGCCTGCTGGAGCAAGGCATCGTGTTATGCTCCCATGGTCTTTACTTTGGGGGAAAAAAGTATCCTTCAGCACCAGGTTTTTTGTTTTTTTTAGCACCATGGGTTTTTAGACCAGGCTTTGTGTGAGGCCTCAGCCTAAGCAGCCAGTCATTGCTACTGTCTCACATGTAATGCACCCTCCAAAGCTTGACCCAGACATTCCTGGTGATTAAAATGGGCAGACAAACTCAAAAGGAAGCCATTCCAGCTATCAGCATATGGGGGTTTTATTATCTTTAAGGCTAGGTTCACACCTAGGCATTTGCAGTTTGTCGTGTTTTTGCGCACAATTTTTTTGGTGCACCTTTGCTTTTAAAAATGTGCGTTTCTACCTGCATAGAGATGTCTATGGGCCCAAAACCACGTGGGATCCGCCTCAAAATAGCTCCTGCATCTTTTTGCTTCACAGGCGTTTTTCTACGTGCGATGCAACGCTAACGTGTGAACGGTTGCCATTGACTTGCTAGGACATGTGTATTTTTCGCACGCATAAATCCGGGGGTAAAGGCGTTCAGCTGTGAACCAGGCCTAACAAGGAGCTGTTTCAGGGTGATGATCCTAAATCTATATTTTAATTTAGGGCTGTTTAACCATTTTTTTTTCTAGTAAGATACTATTATATTGTAAAGAGCGCTATATAAATCCTGTATAATAATAATATAGGCATAGACAAATTTGTTGGCACTCTTCCACAAAAAGAATCCACAATTTTCTCTGAAATAACTTGAAACTGACCAAAATAATTGGCATCCATCATTGTTTATTCCATGTTTAAATAAAAACCGACTTTGCCCTTTTTCGATTAACATAATATTTTATATGAAACAAATGAAAATGTTAAGGGCAATAAATTATATGATTCTTAGGCTAATATTTTGTTGTGTGGCTTTTAGAGGCATTCAATGCAAACAAGAGATTTCTGCAGCTGTCAACAAGTAATTTGTACCACTCTTCTTGAGCAACCTACTCCAGATGTTTCAGGTTTGAAGGGTGCCTTCTCCAGACTGCATGTTTTTGCTCTATCCATAGATGTTAAATAGGAATAGTCTGTCACGGATCGGGGGCTCACAGGTATGAACTGGAATCAGGTATGTGGACCCTTTCTACTACACTGGCAGGGACACTTAGAGAAAAAGGACCAAGCAGTGTAGGCGGATGACTCCCTGAGCTGGAGTACAAGCAGGGAGCAGAGCAGGGATACTGAAGGAGGTGGTGGAAGACAGAATAGGCTGGTAGGAAAAGGCACTGAATAGGCTGGTAGGTGCTGTACTGCTAGGTAGGTGGCATGGTGTCCCCCAGAATGTGGAATCTAAGGGCCAGCCGGTGTTCGCCAGAGCTCCTGATGGTGGAGATGGGCGTTGCTGCGTGCTGACTCCAGGTCACAATCTCTAGGTTCATCCAACTCACCTGACAGCCAAGAATGGTTGACAAGGCCAGAGTTCTGGACAGGTTGCAGACACACATACATGGGACAAAACAAAGGCCAGGGACAGATGGAGGACCAGGACTTCTAGGGACAATCTGAAGATCTGGATATTATTATTATTATACAGGATTTATATAGCGCCAATAGTTTGCACAGCGCTTTACAATATAAGGAAGACATTACAGTCACAATACAATTTAAGACAAGATGGTAAGGAGGGCCCTGCCCGTGAGGGCTTACAATCTAAAATTCAATAGCCAAAGGATAGGGACATACAGAAGACTGGGATCACCGGGGACAAGTCAAAATTCAGGGCAGACTGAGGATAAGGATTTCCAGGGACAAGCCAACAGTCAGGACACAGAAAAACTTTAGGGAATTCAGGTTATATCACAAACGGGCTCGCCATTTAGCTTAGGAAAGCGTTGCTCAGGCAGCGTACCATGAGCTGCCCTGGGTTTAAATAGAGACAGGAAGAGGGAGGATCCACAGGATTGGCCATAAGCGGACTGCACTGATTGGCCGAGAACCTGCATAAGAAACAGCAGAAGAGGTCGGCCGACGCCTAACGCTGCCAGACGGGTGCAAGAGTGAGTAAGGTTCAGAGCACGTACCTGGAGGACAACAAGCAACAGCACAGCCCTGCAGGCCTGCATAACCAGGGGTAAGAGGTCTGTATATACTACAAGTAACCGCTCAGCTGCAAGTCTGCAGCTGAACTGTGACATAATCCAATGTTTTGTACTTAGCCATTATTGGGTGCTTTTAGCCCATGACTTGCAACTGAGATATAGCTTTCTGACACTGGGCAGAAGGGTTTCGCTCCAAAATTTCTTGTCTAGTCTTGAGCCGTTATTGTGCCCTGCAGAGATATAAGGCACTCTGTGCCAGAAGCCACAAACAGCCCCAAACCATAAGCAAGTGTCTTCCATGTCCCACAGTAGGTATGGTATTCTTTTCTTTGAAAGCTTCATTTTTTTTGTCTGTTAACATAGAGCTGAAGTGATTTTCCATAAAAGTCCAGTTTTGTCTCATCTATCCAAAGGACCTTCTCTAAGAAGGATTGTGGCTTATCAATATGCATTTTAAAAAATTCCAGTCTGACTTTTTTATGTTTTTCTTTCAACAAAGGAGTCTTACTTTGAGCCCACTGTTGCTCCCAAAGCAACAGATGGCACAATTAGACACTAATGTACCTTGATGTTGGAGTTCAGCTTCCTCTCTGCGGAAGTTTTTCCTGGCTCTTTGTTTACTGTTTGCACTATCCTTCTATTAAATCGTCGATTTTCCTCTTGCAGCCATATGCATGGAGGCTGGCTAAACTTAAACTTCTTAATATTTGCAACTGTAGTCACAGGAAAATCAAGCAGCTTGGATATTGTCATATAGCCTTTACTTTGACATGCTGGTCTAGAACTTAATTTCTGATGTCCACCGACAACTCCCTCCTTTGCTTTCTATGGTCCATGTTCAGTGTCATTCAGACAATGATGCCAAACACTAGAGTTAATACTTTTCTCCATTTAAATAGACTGACTGATTGCAACTTTGAAAATATCTAATGCATTTCATGCATACTTGTGCATAATCATATGATCTATGATTAAGCACAAGAATGCGTGAAACGCATTAGAGATTTTGTCAGAGACATATGCTGTAGGCCGATTGATAAATTAATGATTACACACCATTCTTCAATTGGTACGGGAGTGCTGTGTTTTCTTATAGTCACAGTGTATTACGTTTTTGCAAAGCTCACAAAGTAGCAGCAGCTATGACTTACCCAGTGCAGAAATCTAGTCCAATATGTCCTGCTCAGTAACATCCTATAGAGTACTTATAGATGGTACTTATACCATTGAATGAATGCCCTATTTAGTTCTAGGGGAACTTACTGCGCAGATGTGGGCAGCGTTGGAAAAGCTTTTTGCACCAAAGCTATGAACGCAGTGGGAAAAAATGGGGATTGTGGAAGTTTACATGGGTAGGTTTTATCCTAAAGTGAACCTGTCCTTTAAAAGACAACTATGACCCAACCTTTTTTTGCCATAGTTTTCTTTATGGTCACAGGAGGACATATACTAATGTCCTCCTGTAAACCAAAACCCTGCATATAGCGGGCTATTGCCTGCCATATGCTGACAGCGCAGAGCCCTGCCGCAGCCAGGATGGATCCTGACGATATTGTCGGGATCCACCCCGCCACCTGATTGACAGCTGTCTCTGCCTCTCTAGAGGCAGAGGCAGCTGTGCCCAGTATGTGATCGTTCAGTTTTCAATCAATAGAGCCGACATATGACAGCTTCAGTGTCGCACATCGGCTCAAATTATGGGGAGGAGTGTATTTCACTCTGCCCATAATTCTCCTTTAGTCCAGGGCATTGTATCCAAGGGGGCTTTATTCAGACACATGGATAGGTCTAAAGACTAACTCAAGTACTTGCATCTGCAAGGTTTGATCACTGCAATATATAGTATATTTATTTTTTTACTCCTAATGAGCACATTTTTAAATTTCAAAACACACAGGGGTTTCCTTTAGTATTATATTTTAAAGTGTATTATTTTGATTTCATGCATTCATTTAAAAACTGAAAATCTAAATAAAGTATGACGGCCTACATAAGAAGAACCTGAAACGTTTTCTTTTCTCATTAGAAAAACAATGAAAGGCAATGGTAGAGGTTTTCTGCAGCTAACGTCCACCTAGTTGCAAAAGAGTTATTAATCAGATAATGGCATGCTATAGATATTTGTTGATATGATATCATCTCTTTCCTACAATTCCAACAGTCCCGCCAGGCTTCACAATACCACTGTATTTCATGCTATTGTGCATTTGATAACAACAATGGCTTGTACCAGTCTTCCCCCTACCTTGCTAGAGAATGCAACTTCTTACTGATTAACAGATGGAGACTGCTTCCTGGTGGTTTTCCTCGCGGCTGTCTTTTTTTTTTTTTTGGACAGGGAATGTCTTCCCTCTGCTGGGTAGTCAGTAAATAGCATATGCACATATCACAACTACAGAAATGAAAGCTACACGTCTGTTGAGCTAAAAGTCTGCTCCTATATTCTTAGATAGCCAAAAGCATGTTACATTCAATCAGCTTTCAAATATCTAGGTACATCATTTATTCATAAACAAGCTTACATTTTCTATTCAACATTGGTGAACCACACTGCCCTCCGATAACACTATAATTCAAAAGCATGCCTTCTTTGAAAAGGTTTACCCAATAAAATAAGGCCTGTATGCTGAAAAGGAGGGTGATAAGGCAGGTTGGCGCTGCCTGTGTTTTTTTTCCAATTGTGATGGTTTTAAAGCAGATCTAGAATCAAAAAACTTTTTTCACCATGAAACTTCCTTTATATTGGCTTTTGGAAATAGTAAACAAGATAATTCAGAGATAGGATAAAGGATTTATTGCAGAATAACCCTTTTGGTAGTTAAATAATACCTTTTAATAGCTATCTGTACATCAGACCAAAATGAAGGACAACTGAAGAGGAAAGAGGAACAAAGAGATTTGGTTCCTTTCAAATGAGGAGAGTTGGGAGGTATGTTCAGATTCTGCAGCGAGTCTGTTGCCCAGTCCCACTTTTTTTTACCATTGCATTGTGTTTCTGTGGGAAAGATCTTCCTGTTCCTAGATACAGCCCTCTAATGGCACCAGTGATGTATTCAGAGGCAGAAACCTGGTAGGTTCTGTTGAGGCTACAAAAAATATACTATGCCTAGGCACTGTCATGCATATTAATGAGAATTAAAGGAACATTTTTTATTGTTTTTCTCACAATAAACTGCTGAATAATTTTTGCTAGACAGCCAAACTTTAATTTTTTTTTACATTTATATTATACCATGTGGTATTGTAGAGGAGAGATGTTAAGTCTTGCCGCCTGTACCAGTTCAGCCCCCTTCAACAATAGCACAGCCAGCCAAGTTCTGCCACTCTTGCACATATATTCAGAAAGGAGAGTCAATTGGCAATTATGTTCTAAGACTAAGAATGACAGTTAAGGTGGTTATGCCTAATGCTGGGCACACACCTTACAACCATCGCGATACTTTTGTCTTGCGATGGTTGTAAGGTAATTAAAAAAATGTACGATCTGCCTATCTTGGACAGGCAGATCGTACTTGCAATGACCGCAAGCCCGCCCCGCTTCCGATGACCGCAATGCCGAACCGGCAGTGTGCGCTTGAGCACACCGGCCCGTCCGGCTTTTATCTTACGAACATGCAACACACCCGCCGAAAATTGTACGATTCTCGGCGGGTTTTCGAACATGTTCCTAAGATAAAAGTTGTGCGACCTTACAGTAGTAGAGGTCGCACGGCTTCCACACACCTTACGATAATCGTGCGATCACGGGATTTCCCGCGATTATCGTACGATTATCGCAAGGTGTGTGGGCACCTTAACTCTTCCAGAACCTATGATTAGTGCCTCTTAAAGTACAATCTGTCAAATGTTACTTGCATTATGATTCTGGGGTGAGTGGCCTACCCCTGTCCACTGCATGTTGTTGATTACAGTTCTGCAAAAAGCCCAGAACCTTTGGTGTAATAGTTATTTGATGTGTGGTGTCAGCAATTTCCATCATCCCCTGTCCTGTGCTGTAACATGTTATGTGTCTGATATGTCTTCTGTGAGAAAAGAAGGAATCTACTGTATTCTGTGAGACCTGCAGTGCTTACATCAGAGTGGCCAGAAAGTTCAGCGGGAGATTTACTAATCCTAGCATGTAAACAAGCAGATTTGCAGGACCAGGGGTTGCTTTTAAAGAAAATTCTACTGTTTTAGCCCAGTAATGTTTTACTGCTTGAGCCCTCATTCACAACTGAGCGACATCAAATATGAAAGTTTCCAGCGCGTTTTCTGTAGCACGGTTATGTCTCCTTTTTTGCACATTTAAAGGTCTATGGGGCCAAAAGCACTAAATTCTGCTTCTGTACTACAAGAAGTGCATAGAAAAGGCAGAAAATGTGCATACAAAGAAAGAATTTCTGTAAATCACCTAGATACGCTCATGCTTAGGTGTAAATGCAGCCTTAAAGCGGGCAGAATCAGCCCTAAAACCGACATTTCATGCAAACTGCTGGGTGAGATCTGTATATGTGGCTCTCTCTGTTTGATGCTAGTTCTCTTAAGGCATATGGGCTGCTTAACAAATACATTTATCTATGCAATGTTCCCATTATTGACAAACATTTAAGGTTTTAATTATCTTTAAATCCTACATACCCCCTACCCGGCAGAGCATATATTCCTCTACACTGCTTTGACTCATTTATTAAAAACTGCCAATGTCTAACCTGCTTAGCACCTCCTAACCTGTGCAGCACAGTAATAATGAATTAATATAACAATTATTACAGCAAATCTTATAGGTTGTTGTAGCACCAAGTCATATTTTTAACTAAGGCACTAGCACTTTTCTATAAATGTAAGGAAATGTAATGTGACATTAAAGTCACAATCACCCCCCCCATGCTGTTTTAAGGACTTACCGTAATGGATGCCTCTTAATCGGATCATCTTCTTTTCAGTAGTTTTCAGGAGTCACTCCAGCGCTGGTGCCAGTCTCTGATCCAGCGCAGAATCCTTGGTTCCCACGGTGTCTGTCTGATGTGCACGCTCACTCCCATAAATCTACTGCTTGCTAGCAGTAGATATATGTAAAAAACTTTATTACTACTTTAAGTATTATCACTGTGCAGGCTTAATTGGTAGAAATATATATTTAAAAAAAACATAACAGATTGTTGCGCCCTCTAGCTCAGTATACATTACTAAATTAATAAGACTCTGTCACTAGCTTAATAAAGTGCACAAAGTCAAGTATTTTATATGCTATGTTTTTTTTCCCCCCTAACTTAGTTTTTATGTTCTTGCAATGTGCCTTTTAAGATGTCTAATTACTGTCTGTGGTAGCCCAGCTCCTCCACCCCCATTACTTCCATACAAAGGGGAATACTATAGAGTGTCACTTGCTTGACATCTAAATCTGCCTTTTGGAAGTCTACACAAGGGAGTCTTTTACAGGTAAATAACATGCCTGAAATAAATTCAATGCACAAATAATCTTATGGAAAGATTTTTGTTGGACTGAATGTCTCTTTAAAGTGTATCTAAACCCAAAAAATAATATATTGCAGCTTATCAGTCAGATGTGGTGGCTGCATTTATTTCTTTTTTCAGGCTTTTTTTTCTTCACCTGGTGATCCTGCCAGTAATGTACCTAATGTGCTAGAATGACAACAATTACTCACTGTATTGTATTTATGGAGGGCCATTGTTGTCACCCTAGGTTGCTCTCCTGATTTGGACTGCTAAAGCTGGCCATACATGTATAGCTTTAGATGGATGGGGCAGAAAGAGAGGAGACCACTTGATTCATCCATCCACACTGGATGGAGGAATTTCCCCTGCCAGGCTATTGGCTGCAACCACTGGTCGGCTGACAATTTTCTGCCTGGCTCCTTTGATCATGTATTTGAAGTTTGTTGAGTCACGTGGGGCATGCAGGGCCACAGATGGTTAGAAATTATAACAATGTCTAGCTTTCTTGGCACCTCCTAACCTTCATTATATGGAGGGGTGGTGGGGGAATAGTCTCATGGCAGAGACAAACTCACTGTTTTTTCAACAAAAATGGCCAACTTTTATTCAGGACAGCAGTAAACATACAGATAAAAGGCACACACGCCCCAGGGCTTGTGGGTAAGAGGCCCTTGTCCCCATCTGCATGGGGACAAGATGGGTTTTCCAGGGGCAACCCTGGAAAAGCACCCTCCCAGTGCCGAGGGCATGTGACCTGGTATGGGAGGGGGCGCCGCTCACTCATCCCCCCTTTCCTGCCGTGCCAGGCCTGTGCTCGGATCAAGGGTCTGGTATGATCAAGGGTCTGGTATTTCTCCTTAACCCCTTCGTGACGGGAGACATACACTGTACGTCCAGCCACAAAGGGACCAAATGACTCGTCACGTACACTGTACGTGACGAGTTATTTGCTGCACTAGAAGGCTGCTAACCGCTGAGAATCAGCGGTTACCTTTCAGTAATGGATGTCTAACTATCTAGAGATCCATTACTGAAAGGGTTAACCTTTTTCAGACACCCGATACAGTAATGCCAAGGGTCTGGTATTGTTTGGGAGGGAACCAAACACTTTTCTTTTTTTCTTTTTAAATGTCATCTTTTTCTTTATAAATGTTATTTTTGCTGCAGCAGGTTCTATATATTGTACAAATGTGCCACTTTACAGGCAGTTTAAGGGACCCCCCCCCCAGGCCCGTCTTTAACGCAGGGCAAAAGGGGCAGTTGCCCTTGGCCCAGTTAATGTTGTGGGGCCCAAAGCAGCCGCCCCTTGATCCTGCACTGCTCGCTCCCTACCTGGAGATGAGGGATGTCTGTGTGCCGT